TGTGTTCCTCTCTCACTGGCTGTCCACACTCACAATGCTGTCTTTCAGCGTGGCAGTTACACAGCAAGCAAACTCAGCTCAAGCTACTTTTTTCAAGTAGGCGGGACAACTTTCTGATAGCTGTACTTACTTGAAAACAGCATGCAAACCGATTGCACTTAAAATATTAAGTACATGGTACAAGGCAATTCTGTTTTGAAGCTCCTCCTGTATATAAAGTAAAACATACTTAAATGTCAGTAACTTTCACTAACTTATGTCTAACTAAGCTTTTGCTTGCAGTTTACTAAAGCTTAAGTATATACAACCCAAAAACTAGTTTAGTAAACACATTTCCAACTTTCCAAGTACTTTGTACTAGTTTGACCTAGTTAGGGTAACTTGTAAATAAGTTTATTTTACTTGTAAGTATTAATAGCTCCAACACATAATTACCTAGTCCTGCGTACTTATTATTTGAAATGCAATCGGTTTGCATGTTTTCTTCAAGTAAGCTGAGCTAATCAGATTTAACAGTGTAGCCGATCCTGGTGTGTCAGGTTACTAAGAACTTTATGTTTTACAGATTATCATAAAAGTCAAAGGAACTCACTTACCTAGATTACCTTCATTGACAGCATCTGAAAAAACAAAAACAAAAAAACAATAATGAAAAACAACAAACAGATGAAAAAATTTAAGGGGATTATATTGTGCAAAATCAACTTTTTGCAGCTTTTGACCATGTTATGTTATAATATCCTCATTAAAAACACCATAAAGTGGTTTTTGACTTCACATTTGAATCCTGCTCTCTCAGCTGCCGCTGCTCTGTGCTGCTGCTCTGCGCTGCTGCTCTGCGCTGCTGCTCTGCTCAGCATTTCCAAACGGCTGGATGGGACACGTGTGTGTCACCATGTCTCTCACCTCCCCATCAAGGAAGCGTCTAATCTGCAGGCTCCTCCCCTGGACTGTAGACACTAGTGCCCATTCACTCCAAGTTGCGAGCGGGTGATTTAATCTCCACAGTTGTGAAGAAGTGATTTCTTTCTTATCTAATCTGCACTTTAAACAATGCCTAGAATGCAATTATACATTCTCAGCTGCAAGAGGAATATTTTCAGTTTTTTTTTAAAGAAGAGTTTAATCATCACAAATGGTTGGACTTTTATTCAGGAGCTCACAAAAACTAAGGCGGAATGTGTTGTTTGTGACTGTGACGGATTACTTCTTCAAACCGGTGCCAGTCCAACATTAAAACCATCGGATGGAGAGGCCGGAGCGGTGAGTAACATCGCTAACCACTAGCTGTTTGGTGGGTGAGCATTAGGGATGGGCTGTCACTATAATTCAGGTTGGACATTTGCTGCCATCCCAGCTGCCGTTTTTCCATCCAAGCACTTGGAAGGCAGTAGGGGGTCCAGCAAGGTAGAGTGAGACTAAGTAAGCCTCAGTTAACGTGTACCTCTGATTGCTGTGAAAGCAGGGAGGGGGATGGCGTGCACAAAATGCCTGGGACAATTATTACGCTAAGGGTTTGGACCTGTGATGTTGGTGGGGCATGGACGTAATTTTCACTTTAAAAGTGGGGGGGGGGGGGACACGGGGGGGTGGGGGGGGGGGGGGGGGGGATCTTTACAGTATGCTCCAGTGGGAAACAGGCTTCAACACAAGCGGTTGTTTTCCACTTGGTCCTGGAGCTCAACCAGTGTCAATTTAATATAGTGTAATATTGTTGTTGGATGGTAAAAAGTGCAGGGGTCAAAACTTGACTTTGGAAAAAGTGGGGGGGACATGTCCCCCCGTCCCCCCCAAAATTACGTCCATGTGAGCAAAGAAAAACAAACAGCTACAGAAGGTGAGGAGATGAGTGAAAACAGGATAGGCAGCAAGATTAGGACACATTTTAACTAAAGTGAAAATCAAAAGGCAGTGTGTGGAATATGCAAAGATAAACTATATCGTATTCAGCAGGTTCAACGTTCGTGTTAGAAAGCGCCTTGGATGGAGGACACACTGTATGTCCTGAACAGTTGTGTGTGGAGGTATCGTAACTTGTAAAAATCTATATAAATGTGAATATACAGTATAGTCTAGCCACGACCCATAGACAGAGCTTAGTCATGGGGCGGGATGTCCACATGATATTGAACATTTACAACGTGAAGTACTGACCACTACGGATGTCAGCCAACGGGGCAGTCCACCATACTGTTGAAGAAGACACAAATACATCCTTTATCTAAATAACGGACTGTAGCCTTGTTCAGCCTGGATGTGTTTTGCTAGAAATATTGATACAACTGAAGGTCCAGTTTCTCACTTCTGGTCCTCATCATGTTATCACACACAAGCTTCCTGCAATCACTAAATAAACATCCTTTTTTCAAAAACACGTCATAACTGTCCATTTCAGACCGTAGAGCTTCACCACACCGTCATTATTATGGAAACTCAGAAGTCCAGTCCTCTTACTGAAGTGTTCAATAGACGTCTGATGAACGGCACCGCAATTTTTGAGTTATCGGATGAAGCCAACAGCTTCACAACCCTTCGCTCCTCATCAGTGGCTCGGTGAAATCCTCCTGACATCTTCGCCCAGAGCCAGGAGCTATCTGCCCTCACACGGCAGAAATGATGACATCACTCCTACAAGAGCTAAACAAAATAGGCCACAGCTGTTTTGTTCTTTGGGCCACAAATTAGACTGAATACGCCACATAGAATCACGTCAGAGGACAGGCGGAGGAGCAAGCTCCTGTTTTCTCTTTCACTTTGCTTCCATTCTCCACACAGGTCATGCTAATTTGTACTAGAGGAGGCCTGAGTTATGTAAAGGGTTGGTGGGGAAAAGATGAATAATGAAGGGATTTAAATAATAAATGGAACCTTTTCAACCAAATGAAACAGTTTTGAAAGGGAGGGAGTACTCCAGGAGGTGGTGAGACACTTGGCGGTAGACATCCTCTCCAGAAAGATCTGGGGCAGATGAATTATACCTTACTGGGTCCATTATTGCTTATCAAAGCATCAAATAAATTATTTCATGCATGGGAGGCTGTACGAATGTGCAGCTCTGCTGTAGTCCCAGTTTGACATGAAAACAGAACGGCTGAGGGATGCACACATCGAGAGATGAAACACCTGGAAGTAATCAGATCTGTTAGCATTCAGCCTCTAAACAGAAAACTGCTTTAAGGTGGAAATACATCTCAAACAACTCTTACATTGGCCCCCAGAAGCAATGTGCAAAACAATCAACAATAGTCACTGCCATAAAAGGTCCTCTGCTTCAGCTGTATTTGTAACATACACTAGAGTGGAGGAAAACAGAAGATAGCTCCCACCCCTCAGCTCCACAGTCATCTCTAACTTCACCTAAGTGGATGAGGCTACACGAGAAAAAGGTCTGAGATCAGGTTTAGCTTCACAGGAACGTCTCTCCATGTAGATCAGTCTGTTTATGATGGGGAATGAAGAAACTTGCTGGTTCTCTTAAACAGACCTGTTTATAACCTACTGAACACATTTATAACAACCTGTTTATAACCTACTGAACACATTTATAACAACCTGTTTATAACCTACTGAACACATTTATAACAACCTGTTTATAACTTACTGAACACATTTATAACAACCTGTTTATAACCTACTGAACACATTTATAACAACCTGTTTATAACCTACTGAACACATTTATAACAACCTGTTTATAACCTACTGAACACATTTATAACAACCTGTTTATAACCTACTGAACACATTTATAACAACCTGTTTATAACTTACTGAACACATATTTATAACAATTGGACTGAACTGATGTCTAATGATCGTGGAGGTTGCTGTGGACTTTAGGAAGCATCCCCCCCCCCATAACCCTGACTGACACCCCCATCACAATGATGGATTTATGTTGCTTCCTGGGCACCACCATCACCCAGGACCTCAGGTGGGAGACCACCATCACCCAGGACCTCAGGTGGGAGACCACCATCACCCAGGACCTCAGGTGGGAGACCACCATCACCTCAGTCATAAAAAGGCCCAGCAGAGGATGTACTTCCTGAGGCAGCTGAAGAAATTCAACCTGCCAATACAGTTGATGAGGCAGTTCTACACGCAGTAATCAAGTACATCCTCACCTCCTCAATTACCGTGTGTACGGTGGAGCCACCACCAGGGACAAGAAGAAGCTGCAGCATGTTGTACTCTCCTGCTGTTTCAGTCACATGACCCTAGTGTTGTGTTTGTTCCCGACCTGACCCGCTCTGATCAGAACACAGTAGCCGTTCCTCTAATTGTTGTCTCCCTATATCATTATTTTATTGTGCTTATTCAAATTTCTGCTTATTATTTATTTATTTTTTAAACAAGAACTGCAGCGATTTCCTAATGTTGTGATCTCTCACACATATGATTAAAAAACCTTTCTGACTCTGACCTTGTAGGACTTGTTGCTTTTTCTTTGGGGCTTTGAGGTGACTGTTAGGAACTGGTGCTGAAGAAATGAACTGAACTGAAATGGAAGTACTACGCTTATTTTATTGCAGCAACAGGAACAAACTCTCAGGAATAGGAGGGTTTTTGTGACGTCAGTGCTTATGTTTCTCGGATTGCATCATGGGAGTGTGTGGCAAGAAACAACATATTTTATATACGTTGTTTCTTGCCACATATATATATATATATATATATATATATATATATATATATATATATATATATGTGTGGCAAGAAACAACATATTTTATATACGTTGTTTCTTGCCACACATATATATATATATATATATATATGTATATGTATATGTATATATATATATATACGCACACATATATATACATATATACATATATGTACATGTAATTACATATGTACATATGTACATATACATATACATATATACATACATATATATGTATATGTATGTATATATGTATATGTACATATACATATACATATATACATACATATATATGTATATACATATATACATATATATGTATGTATATATGTATATACATATATACATACATACATACATACATATATATATACATACATTATATTGTATTGGTTATTATATTGGTTATCGGTAAAAAAGCAAATTTCGCGCATCCCAAGCCTCAAGGTATGAGATAAGATCTAATGACAGGAACCACCTGTCATTAGATCCAACTCATCAGGTGGTGATCAGTGACCAGCTCTGACCGTGTCTTTAGTCTAGTGTTTAAGACATAAAACCATAGGTCTGATGATCCACTTAGAAGAAAGGAGGCCAGTTAACAATAGACGTAAAAGTAATCAGAGTATTTAAGGTGAAAATGTGCTAAAAAGATTGTTGTACTCAAATTTAAACACGTTTCTCTGGCTAGAAATGTTTTTTTCCTACACATAAAGGGCATCCTCTCCAGCCTCAGGACCGTCCTCTCTGGCTTTTCCACAGCATGGTTCTGAATGACACTGCTGAAATGAAGGGATTTTTTCCCCATTTAGCGGGACTTGGGGAGTGTTTCATCTCATTGCTAAAATGACAGCTTTTAATGCTGCTGCATTCATAACCCATTCCTCTTATCGCTCGCACCCCCAACACTTGATGGAATTTGCCATCACACAATGGTTGGAAAATACACTTCAAAGAGGAGATGCATCTAATCTCCTCTACTCTGCATATTGCAAATTTGCAGTGGTAATAAGATCCCGCCTTCCCAAGCATTCTTAGGGATCTAAACGAAGGACGGGAATTTCATCTATTTTTCGTGCCCCTTCTTCTTCTTTATATCCTGCTTTTCTCCAGATTGGTGTCGGAAGGACGTGTGTTTTAGAGGCTGTGAGGCTGCTTGAAAGAATCTCTGCAATGACGGTCCTGCGTCACTGAGGAACTCATCCCATTCTTACGTAAAAGCCCCACTTTATAGTTTTCTTCTACACACAACGAGAGGCACAGCACAGTGACCTAGTTTCCATGTTGCCCAGAAAGGTCCGGCACAACTCCCTCAGAACAGCTATAAACACAAACACCTGGTTCAGAGCTTCCAGTTGGATTAAGTGATGCAGCTACATGATGGGAGAGGTTCATCTGTTTTCAAATAATTTTCTGCAGATGGGAATGTGGTCATGTAGCCCCACAGGTGACACCGGGTATGGCGTTTAAAATGGTGGAGGCTCATAAATGAAGACAAAGCTGCTGGAAACGCTCTGCCCGAGTCTCCGTGTCCTACATTAACCACCCTGGCCCCTAAAGGCAATCTTTACTCATGAAGAATGCTGTGGATGGAGAAGCACTACACTGGAGTCTGAGAGTTAGGCAAACCTGGATAGTAAGATTAAGCTGGCTACTCAGTAAATAAGCCAAAGAAAACTACACAATCTTTTAATCCAAAAGAATTAAACACCACCACATTAGGGGCTCTAAAGTATCTCATGGTCATGTTCAGATCTACAGTAAGGTCAGGGCAGCATCTACAGACTCTGAGCTGGTCTGTTGTGGTGAAGACGGACTGAAGCTGGAAGGTGAAGATCTTAATTTATTGGTTGACCTACATTCCATCCCCCACCTATAGAGCTCCGGACGTCATGTGGCAGGCAAAAAAAGGTAAACAAAATGAATGAGATCGGCTTGGATTTTACTCCGTCGGAGTTTACTTCACACTTAACCGAAGAAATCGTTTTATATAGTCAGAAATTAAATAGACTGTTTAGTCTCCGACCCTTACCATGCCCCCGGGATACTTTTTAAAATGCCACAAGCTGCTGGAGTGGACCTCGTACTGGACTTGAGATACCCTGACAATTATAATTTCCTTGTTAATTTTCCCTCGTCCTACTATGGAGCATCGCTAAGAGCATATAAATGCCTGGAGGGATACAAATGGACTCAATCAGGGTTTGTTGTCGGTATCCAGATCTGGATTATTCATGCAAAGGACAGCACTGTTGTCACCGGGAGGGTAAGTGGAGATTTTTGTTACCATTAGCAACACCCCTTTGCAAGGTTATGTCTGTGTGATCTGACAATTGATGAACCATTGCTTAAAAATGAAATACAGCTTAGCCGGTTAATTGCTGTGATCATAAAACACGTAAACGGCAGCACCCAGAAATCACGAGGCAACGTTTTACGTGATGTTTACTTGTTGCTATGAGTAATAAGACAGAAGAAGCCACGCCAAAATAAGTTTAGGAAGCCCACTAAGAATCGTAATAAAAGCATTTAAAATAAATGCCATACACAGTTGAGGAAACGTTGGTTTAAGTACCTGATATGAAGTGGTCGCTGCATAAGCGAAAACCTTTACTCTCTGGATCCTACAGGTTCATTTTAACCTGGAGACTAGTTTCACTGTGATGATCCAACATTTGCGGCGTTCCGGATCTTGGGGAATCCTGTAGACAGCTCTTCCCTTATCTCATCCGGGTCTGTTCCGGCATCCTGGGACACAACAGGAACCTTCCATATTTTCCGTTTGATTGAGTTTTCTGACAATAACAAATAGCCTAGCTGTGGGCTACTGCCTGCCAAGATGGCACCGTTCGATTTGAACTGTTGCATGCCGGGAGAAGTGGCGTCAGCTCCCGGAGCTCTATGGTCATGAGCCGTGGGTAGAAACTAGGGATGGACAATATACTGGCATCAATATCGGTATCGGCCAATGTTGGTCATTTTTTAACATATTGGTATCGTTTCGATTAAAAAAACTGGGCCAAAATTAACCACAATATATATAATAACGTAAATTCAGCTTTAATAATTTTCATTCTATACAAAATTTGCTGATTTTAGAAGCATTAATGTCAGTATATCGTTATTGGAAAATACTGGTTATCGGCCATGTAATGGAAATTTTATGTCTATTATTTCTTGATCATTGATTCAATCAAGTGAATGTAATATGTATTACTCTATGCCTCTTTGGATGCTCAATTATTCAGACACACACACACACACACACACACACACACACACACACACACACACACACACACACACACACACACACACACACACACACACACACACACACACACACACACACACACACACACACACACACACACACACACACAATCTCTCTCCCTCACTCCCATTTCTTTCTTATCTTTCTGTTTAAATAAAGTCTGTGACCAGATGTTCGGGGCGTTTTGCCTTGTGCTTGTGCCACAGTTATAACTGGATGACTTGTTGTCTCATTGTGTCCTTTTCCCTTCGACTACAGGAAATGGGTTGTTGATAAACAAATTGATAAAATCCCTAACATCATTTGGTCCTTCGAGAGCCCCGGTCCCATCACGTCGTGGCGCCAAGAACTGACGCCGGAGGACTGTCAACAACCTAAATCTCCTCCAGCGCTGAATTTCGCTGGGGGTTCGGTGTGAGGGTCTTGACGTCGCTAGGAAGAAATGCGGATCCACGAACTACTCAAGACCTGAGTGGAGAGATTTGGTGAGTCAAGTTTGTTGTTTGTTTTGTGGTACCGAGAGAAATCCTAGGTGACCAGAGGTTAAATTTGGTATCATCAGCCGGAAATGATGTTTGGACAGACTGAATACTGTCTGAGTTGGGTTTATGAATATTGTATGAGTTTGGTTGGTTTTGTGCATTTTAGCCAGAAATTAGAAATGCAGCTCTGGTGTAAGAAACAGAAGTAAACCAGTATGATAACTATTGAGATTCAAATTATGGTGTCACCCGCCGGAAGTGATGTTTCACAGATGAATGCTGTCTGAGTTTGGCTTGGTTTTGAGTGTTTTTGCCGGAAAAATAGAAACGTGCTCTAGTTATCAGTTGTTGTTGTTTGTTGTCTTAGATGTTGTCTGCTTTAATTGTTGTTTGAATGGATGAGAAAGTGTCTGGACTTGCTTATTCGTGTACAAAGAAGGATATGGCAAATCATTTGCACACGTCTCAAGTTGGTGGTCAGACTTTTAAAGTGGTTGGCTGATAAGTGAGTCCCGCTGTGTTTAGAGACACAGTTGGAGGGCAGATTCATGAGCCTAAATCTGACCTCATGCCGAAGAAGAGACGGTGTAGTATCTATATGGGGAAATAAGAACTCACAAAATACCTTTTGAGTAAATATTGTACATTGATGGAAATGTCAATCCAGGAAATGTGGAAAGGATCTGAAAATTATCAGAGAATTGATAGAAAACATGCTTTTGATAACCGCTGACGTGTCACAAATGTATTATGCTTATGAGGAAGCACAGAGCAGTGGAAAGAAAAAAGGGTTGAAAATGTGAAAGACAGAGAGCACAGCCAGGCTCAAAATAACCCAAAGAACAGCTGCTGTGCTGGTCTTATCAGTTGAGGCCTCAAAGGTAACTTAAACTAGAACATAAAAATGAGAAATTAACTCCTTGATGCAAAGTGGTCATTACAGTGGATAGGTTCTCAAAACTGTAATTTACTTATTTGTTTTTGCAATTAAGCACAGCTGTTGAAGACTTTATTGCATTTGAGACCCTCCATGTGGACTTCATAAGCCCAGCCAACATTTTTCATGTTCAGAATGCTCGCTGTCCACTGTGGTGGACATGTAGTAAATTATATGCAAATTATTAAATGTTACAAAAAATATTTGTTCAAATTTGTTTCATTCACACCTGAAGATAAATGAAAGACATTGTTAAATAATCATGATTGAAAATTTCATAATTCATGCATCAAAGGGTCAAGCACTGGCCGAATATTTAATTCCTGGTATTCTGGTGACTAATATATGAACTACGAACTGTGCCACATTTAGTGGCTGACAGGGAAAGTGTTTTAGTGGAACCCCTCGATTTGAGAAATTGATTGTTTAACAGTACTTCTAGACCAATAAAAGCTAAGTATGTAGATTTTTGGTTGAACCTCTTGGACTGAGAAATTGACCGTGTGATTTAACAGTACTTCCAGACCAACTAAAACTAATGACTATTGTCAAATTGCATTTTATCTCCTTTTTTTTATCATTGTTTTTGACGTTTAAAACCAAGACAAGGGAGTTCAGCGGATGACAATCGCACCCAGGTGAAAATAATACGGTGGGCAGTACCTGTTGAATTCAAAAACTGCATTTTGACCACTCTAAAAATATTGTTTGTAGGGATGAGCCGGATACTCGTTTCAGACAGGATTTATCTCCTGTTTAAAAATTTTACACATTATTTGAGTGACATTATTGAGTGAAATTGTACATTGTTGATGTGCTCTGAAGCAGCCTTACCTTACTGAATCTATGAAGTTGAAATATTATTTTGATAGCTAGGACTGGTTTCGTTGTTGGTTAACTCCAGTGTTGGAAGCAAAGAGATAAAATTAAATAGTCACTTGGATATATTCCCTGATTTAGCTCTGATGATGTGAATATAGGTGAAAGTTTCTGGCAAACACATAGAGTCTATGACATTATTATTTTGTGATATGAGCTTGGGGATGCTGACAAGCTCACCCTTTTTCCCAGATGGGGTGATTCTTTTTGATTTCTTTAGATTACAATCTTCTACAATAGCTCTTTTACTACAATTTTTCCTGTTACTTATAGGTGATGTAAATCACTTTGTGTTTATTTTCAATTTACTTTACACAGATTATGTTTTTTTTGTTAGTTTGTTTAGTCTTGTTTGGTTTTGTTGTTTTATGCACACTGTGCTGCACGACTCTGCCCCCTGCTGATGTAAACTGGTAATTGCAAGTTCATTGGGATGGGTATTTTTTCACATGTTGTGTTAGGTCCAACTTTTGCTTCGGGTTGGTGCAATGCTTGCTGGTATCAGACCTGTTTATGTTTTGTTTCTGGTAAGCCATGAGTTGTCTCATGCCTCAAGCAGAGGGGTGGCTGATAATGATTTTCTCACATTATTACACTGCCTGGATGGAATTACTTTAAATACTAGATGATAAGGATTTTTGCTGAAAACAATTCAAAATCAACAAGTGATCTCCCAGAATTTTCTTGTGCTTTTTCACCACAGGTCATGGAACCAGGAAATTGGGTTTTGATGAATGTGCTGAAGCAAGACAATTGGGGCAGCCAGAGGTCCATTCGAAGTACTCCTCACCACTCCCACTGCTGTGAAGATTGCTGAGAGGCCATCTTGGATTCATCTATCCCACTGCAAGCTTATCAACGTCAACCGCCACTAGGGTGGCAACGAAGTCCAGCTTCACAGGTGTGTTGGCAACAATAGGTGTTCATGTCTCAACCCCAGTGAAGATAAGATCAAGATAATGATAAGATAAAGATCTGCTTCAAGCTTGCTGGGTTCACCACATTGCCGATGTTGGTGCACGTTCATGGCCTGCACTTGGGCCGCCTCTCAGCACCTGATGGAACAACTGGGACAGCAGCATTTTAGGGGGTACTAGAACTGGAACTGAAACGAAGGATTGGGGTTCCTCACTGACCTGAAGGAATTTTCGAGGAACAAGATCAGCTCCCTGACAATTGGACAACCGCCTCGACACGCCACGGAAAGACCCTGACGTCTTTCTATTGAGAAGCTGAACTGTGCGCTTCTACACTACGAACTCCATTATCGCACTCCAGACCTAGACTTCAAGGTACTAATCAACGTGAGACTGAAACCATCCTGAGCAACGGAAGAGGACTCTGACTTTCACACCTATTCTCCAACCGGGACTCTCAGTCCACGGACAAGCCCTTTGATGAAGAACGCCTGGGTTGCCTCTGCTCTGCCATGGTTAGACCTGCGTAAATTAATATTACACGTTAAATTTTCTTCCTTCACAGAAAGACTCGTCTACAAGCTTTAAACTAAATTCACCTGACGTTTCAATACACTGTACTGATGTTTTCTGAGTATTATATGGTTTTGCGAACCCTTCCCAATCTCCTGACAGGAACTGCCATAAATTGTAGAATTGTGCATCACAGTAAATTCACTTCAATATATATGATATAGCTCTCCTTAAGTTTATAATTCAGGAATAATAGGTCAACAGTCCAGGCACTGATTGATCTTATTGAGGAGATAACAGAATGCATTGACAAAAAGAATCATGCAACAGGGTCGTTTTTAGATCTGAAGAAAGCTTTCGATACAGTAAACCATGACATATTGATGAGAAAAATGGAAAAATATGGTTTCAGGGGTATAGTATTGGACTGGATAAAAAGTTATTTATCAAATAGACAACAATATGTGCAAATAAATCAACATAAATCAGGACTAAGAGAGATACAATGTGGGGTACCTCAAGGATCAGTCTTAGGACCTAAACTATTCATAATGTACATAAATGACATTTGTAGCGTTTCACAAGTATTGAAGTTTGTATTGTTTGCAGATGACACAAATGTTTTTTGCTCAGGTGTGGAATTGCAACAGGTCCTGGATGTGGTCACAAAGGAAATAAATAAATTTAAAAAATGGTTTGATGTAAATTTACATTGTTTGGTAATGAAAGCAGATACAATGAATTAGATATAGTAATTAATAATGTAAAAATTGAGAGAGTATATGAAATAAAATTTCTTGGGGTGGTCATAGACAGCAGAACCTGTTGGAAGCCACTAGGATTGTCACGGTAACCGGTATAGCGGTAAACCCTGGTAAAAAAGTTGACAATAAAAATAACCGTCCAGTTTTTAAAAAACTAAATTATCTCGGTGGGTTTACCGTGGCCGCGGTTTAGGCGCGGTGACCCTTACCAGCCACCATTGCTTCTGCTTAAGTTCCCGCGCACACGCACTTTTTAGTTTGCAACCAAAACTTTGAAGCTGAAATAATGGCCGAAGGAGGAGACGGCAGCGCCCAGGACATCCATCAGCCCTAAAAGAAGACTAAATCGGAAGTATGGGCATATTTTGGATTTCTGAAAAATGCTGAGGGACAGTTAATAGAAGACTGCTATCCCGTTTGCAGGACGTGCAGGAAACAAGTGTCTGCAAAAGGCAGCAACACTTCGAATCTAATGGCACATCTGCGTGACCATCACCCACGTCTCTACAGCCAGTGCAAGGTAAGTTAACATTAGCATTTTAGCTTAAATGCATGACGTGAGGACTTTTGGTTGAGGGAGAATGCAACGAGTCACTGTACACTGCAGCCGCAGCGTCCTCTGCCAGCATTTAAACCGTGTCACGGACACCCTGTTGCTGGATGAAGCATCTTATTTGTTGATGATGATGAGAAATATACAATTAGTTCCTTGTCATTGATTTGTTTACTTATTCAGTGCCATTTATACTTGAACATTTGGATTTGATTACATAGTGTAGTAGTTATTTTAGTAATTTGTTTAAAGTGGCTATTTATTTTAAATACATATTTTTTTAAGGTTGACTTGTACAGTGCTCAAGTCAAGTGTGGACTGGAGTTTTAGATTTTCATTTTGATAATGAAGAAAACAAGTATATGAGAAAACAAGTGGTGTTTCTTTAATTTGTTTACATATTGTTTATGTTTCGAATGTTTGGATTTGTATCATTTAAACCTGCACTGACTACAGTAACATGTTCCAGAAAAAGAAGCTATTTGTTCCTTTACTTGTGAAAAGTTGCACTTTTGCTAAGGCTTTGTGTTATTTTAGGTTTAATAAACACTGTTAAACCTTTTCAAAACTATTTCAGTTTGTGTAGAACAGGACTATCAATGCTTTCTGAACATATGCAACACCGTTAAAAAAATACCGCGATAATACCGAAAACCGTGATAATTTTGGTCACAATAACCGTGAGGTTAAATTTTCATACCGTGACAATCCTAGAAGCCACACATCAAATATGTTAGGGGGAAGCCTGCACGGGGCATTGCTATATTGGGGAAAGCTAAGTATATTTTTAATCAGAAAGCACTTTATATGTTATACAATACGATGCTACTGCCATATTTGAGCTATTGTGTAGAGGTCTGGGGAAATACGTACAAAAGTAATTTACAAACAATAACGACAATGCAGAAAAGGGCTATCAGATTAATAACAAATGCAGGATATTTGGATCACACAAATGAACTTTTTATTAAAACGCGGACAATGAAGTTCCAGGACTTGGTTAAATACAAAACAGCACAAATAATGTATAAAGTAAGAAATAAATTAATGCCTGATAAAATACAGAAACTGTTCACAGAGAGAGAAGGAGGATATAACCTGAGAGGGACACTAAACTTAAAGATACATAAGTTTAGAACAACATTAAAACAGATGTGTATCACAATAATAGGGGTTAAATTATGGAATAATTTAGAAGAAGAAATCAAAGTAAGTACAAATATAAATGTGTTTAAAATGAATTATAAAAAAACATTCTGAACAAGTATATAGTGGAAAATGGATGATTTATGTGGTTGTCCTTTATTCTAAGGAAAAGTAAATGTGAGCATCAATTGTAAAAAGATGTGTTTTTTTTCTCTCTTTTTTAGTTTTTTTCCATATGGTTTGATGGTTTTTGGTGACTTGTACCATTTTGTTTGTTTTAATGTAGGTTTTGTGTTACATTTAGTAAACAAGTAAAAATTACTTGTATAAAGGGGTAGGGACATATAAGTTTTGACTTCAGCCTACTCCTTTTCAGACAGAGAAGAAGAAAAAAAGGGATGATGATATATGCATTTTTTCTGTTTGTCTTTTTTTTAAATTATGTATGTTTTCTTTGTTTTAAATAAACTAAACTAAAAAAATTGTGTTGATTTAACGGATTCCCGTTATCTCACTTGTATTTCTGTAAAATGCTGTTGATGTCATCTTTTATTATTTTATTTGTTCTTTACTGTTTTACTGATTTTTGTATCACGCTTGTACGGAATGATTCTTTGGACAAAGTTATCAGGATTGAGATTACGATCCGTAATAGACAAACGAATGCGGCACCTCCTGCTGTGTTCACACCTCATCGTGCTGATTCTGAACCTTCCCTATCTCACCGTAGAGTATTATTATTATTTTTCTTGTTAGATGCTTATCTAGCTTGTCTTGAGTTGCTTGATTTGTACCCTATTGGGCCTTATGACAACTGAGGTGATTACCGTTCCTGGTTTTACCCTTTCCCTATTCCTTAAGTAGTGATTAATGAAGCTTTCATAGACAATGGTGTCAAGTTATGAGAGTGGATAAAATTTCATGCATGTTATGTATATCTCCTAGCCTGGCAAGCCAGACTAAATAAATGTATTATTTAGTCTGGCCACGCTCCATTGACGGCTCTCGGTTGTGGGGCGGGTTCTACCGTTGTCTTTAAAATGATCTCCGCATTCCACTGGACAATGAATGTGACATACTCTTGTTTCACTCTGTTGCATCATCCCACCCACCAGGCATATAGAGTGCCCTGATTGGCCCACAAAGCGGATAAAGCTCTGCGATTTGTTCACTAAGCAGATAGAGCACTATGATTGGCCCACCATTATGGACCAATCACAGCTCTTTGTGTGTTTGAAACCCCTTTAGAGAACTGTGATTCGCTAGCCAGAGTCCTGGTAGGAGCTGCTGAGGTTCCAATGGAGCATGCCTAGACCATTCTTTGCAAAGCAATAATTTGGTCTAGTTCACTAGGCTATATATCTCCCATTAACGGGGGGTATATGTTATGAAAATTTTATGTCTATTATTTCTTGATCATTGATTCAATCAAGTGAATGTAAAATGTATTACTCTATGCCTCTTTGCAAGCTCACTTATTCAGACACACCAGAACAAGCCACTCACACACACTTCTCGACTCCCCCCACACACACAATCTCTCTCTCTCACTCCTATTTCTTTCTTATCTTTATGTTTAAATAAAGTCTGTGACCAGATGTTCGGGGCATTTTGCCTTGTGCATATGCCACAGTTATAACTGGTTGACTTGCTGTCTCATTGTCTCCTTTTCTCTTCGACTACAGGAAATGGCTTATTGATAAACATATTGATACCCCTATTATACCTGACCAGATTATACCCATATTGATACCCCGAATATCGGATATCGGTAATGGCCCAAATATTTCATATTGGTGCATCACTAGTAGAGACTAAAAGAACAGATCATGAATGCATGAATGAAATGAGTTTCCTCTGTCGAATGCCCAGGCTCAACCTCAGAGTAAGGGCGAAGAGCTTGAATAACTCTGAGTAGAGCCGCTGCTACTCCATGTGGAGAGGAGCCAGCTGAGGTGGTTTGGGAATTTGGTGAGGATCCTTCCTGGACTCCTCCCAGGAGAGGTGTTTCGAGGAGGGTCCAGCCAGCCGCGGGGCGTTTCCGCCTGGCTTACAGAAACGCCTTAATGGGGGTAAATAGCATTTCACTAACCGGTCAGAATGGACATCAAAATACGTTATTTTCTCTACTACATTTGTCAAAATAAGAGTCTACACTAATTGATTTTGTCGCACCACCACAGCAAAATAAAAGCCACCACACCAATAGAATAAATTTTTATTTTTTAAAGATTTTGTAATGATTCCAAATTGTTCTTTCCGTTTCGGATCTTTATTCTGGGCTACTGTTGGCCGCAGCACACGCCTCAACTCCAGGAAAAACAGCATTAACAATCTCCATTCAAACTAGCTCATTTTCTCTTTCTAAATAACCGAACCGGAACTCTCCACACAACCAGCCAAGAACACCCCCCTTCAACATAAAAGTCCAACAAATCGTAACCTGTTACACTATGTAAAGCGTAAAATATATAGCCTAAATGTGCACACTTATACTAGCCATAATTGTAGTTTGAAATGAATTTAAATATCTTGAAACATTTAAATTTTACTTTATTTTGAAAACCCATTGGCTTCTTTCTGCCAAGCTGCGGAGTTTCGGGTGAGCTTCTTATGAGCAACAGTCCAAAGAAGAGGATAAAAGTTTAGGGCAGCAGTAGCTCAGGTGGTAGAGCGGGCTGCCTCATGATCGGAGGGTCATGGGCTCAATTCCAGCTCCCGCCAGGGGCATCCTGCTGTTGTGTCCTTGGGCAAGACACTTCACCCAACTTGCCTGTGTTAGTGGTGGTCAGAGGGGCCGACGGCACCAAATGGCAGCCTCACCTCTGTCAGACCTCCCCAGGGCAGCTGTGGCTACAAGTAGCTTACCATCACTAGCAGTGTGTGAATGTGAGAGCGTGTGAAAGCATCTTTGGTGGTCTTGAAAAGTGCTATATAAGTTCAATGCATTATTATTATTATTATTATTAAAAGTTTGTGTCCCGCCTTATTGACAGTCTCCCATTTCGAGTTAATTCCTTGTCTCCCATTTTGAGTTTAATATTTGTACAAACTTTGAGTAAAGCAGGAGGCGGGACTTAAACGTAGGTTTGCGTTGGGAGGGCGTGGAGCGCGCTCACGTCAAACCAGCAACACAAAATGAAAGGGCAGGGTGAGCACAGATGATCAAAAACTGTATATAAAAGATGAAGAACAGATAAATGAGCGGAGAAAATAATTTAATTTGAAATATTGGAGGTGAAGTAACATTTCAGGAGCAAATAAGAAGAAGGGGGCATTCCTGTTTTGGAGTGGGCGTTCCCGTTTACAAACCAAAACGCCCCTGTTAGCTGGATGATACTGTGTTTCAGTCATGTCATGCCTGGGCCTCCAGGTGGCTCAGAACAAGCTGGAGGGATTATACATCCATGCTGGCCAAGGAAAAGCAGTGATGGTTTGATCCACTTTACTAGAGCCGATACTTCCATAACCCATACTCAACAAAGGCGTGAAAATGGACCAAATGACAGACATGACTTGACTTTACTGAAGTGGACAGACTTGTCACCCCAAAACAATGACTTGTTCCCACCTTGCTTTAGAAAGCACTAGCAAAAGATGACAAGTGTTTAGCCTTCAAAAGGGGAGGACAGAAATTAAATGCATGCTTGCAACATTGTTCAAATATGCTATATATATTCAAATATGTCTATAAAAATCTGCAGTCATTTGTGTAGCCATACAGGTCACCTTTTGACATTTGTCCGACAAAATTTATAAAAGTACTTTATAACAATCAGAAATAGCTCAAAGTGCTGGATAACAGTAAAAAAAAAAGAGTTAAAATAAACAGAAAATAGGGCTGGGCGATCATATGATCGCACTTGTGATCACGATCATTTTCAGTTCAATTACGGTGATCAGCTGGGAGTCTCGATCAGAAATAACAGATGTTTACAGCCTCAGTAGGGGGCGCTAACCCTCCATGTGCGTTGGTTGCCCACCGCCTTTTAACAAAAAGAAGAAGCATTTGCAATTACACTTTTCCTGCTCCGCTACTTCGGTGAAGAGGTTTAATAAGCAGAATGGCCAAACGTGGAGCTGAAGACAGCAAAGTAGATCCCAGTCATGACTCGGAGTTGTCTTCTGGAGATGAAGACATTGTTCAGGAGAAAAGTTACTCAACGTCAGTTGTGTGGCGGTGGTTCGGGTATCTCAAAAGTGACGTTAACAAATCAAGCCGACATGCAAGGTATGTCGGCGAATGGTGCCTTCAAAAACTGGCAACACTACGAATCTATTTAATCATCTAAAGAAATACCACCCAAGTGATTAAACAGCCAGCGTGAAAATGCGAGCAGAGTCCGGACAACTTGTTAGCTTGTCTCAAAGTAGACTTAGCACTAGCGCGGCTGCTAGTAGTGGTCCAGCCGGTGTTCTGAGAAAACGTCCTACCCGTAGGATAATTTTACAGTGTTTTACATGACACAAACCCTAACCCTAACCATAACTCTAACCCTAACCAAAAAAATCAAGTATCAACGTGAATAAACAGTACTACTTACTACTTATCTATTTTCCTGCAAATATGACAGCGGAGTAGCATTCCCCTTTTGTGTTGTGCGCATGCACGCACATGCTCAGTAACAATGGGTAGGACGGTTTACGGGGTAGGAGAAATTCCCAGAACACCTGTTCACTGGCGGTGAAGCTGCACAACCAAAACAGCAATCAATCATCTCGTCATTTTCAGCTGTTGCACCATACGAGCAGAACTCAGAGAAGCAAAACCATCACAAAAGCTATAACTTTTTGTATAGCAAAAGACATGATGCCTCTGAACACAGTAGAGAGAGAAGGATTTAAGCATTTAATCAAAGTGCTGGACCAGAGGTATGAAATACCTGGCCGAAAGTATTTTTCTCAAACTGCACTGCCACAGCTGTATGATGAATGCAGAGAAAAGCAAGAGATGGAGCTCAAAGATGTTTCATGCAGCAGATAAGTTGTTTATTTTGTACCTGTATAGCATTAAAGACGCACAGAATGTCAATAAAATGTTTAACTAATATCTAGTTTATTTATTTTTACATTTTAAGCTGCTTTAAACTGACTATATAAAAATTAACCGTGATTAAAATCGAGATCGAACGATATGGAAAAAATATATCATGATCATTCTTTTTGCCATATCGCCCAGGCGTAACAGAAAATTGTAGAATCTGGTGCAAAATCAGTAATTCATCCTAAAATGTGAAACTAATCTATGAGACGGACTCATTCCAGGCTAATCCAGATGTTCCAGCCTGTTATAACTGTGATGATTATGGCTCACAGCTGATGGAAACCCTACTTTTTAAATCTCAGACAATCTGACTATCGTGAAAACGTTCAACATTCCAGACTCAAAGTGTCACACTCTAATCAGCTGATGAATCCAGAACACCTGCAGAGGGTTCCTGAGCCTTTAGATGGTCTCTTAGTCTAAGGCTAGAAATATACGTGCTGTTAAATCTTGCGCAGCAGGTTGCGTCTTTGTTCATGTACTTGCTGCTGCACTGCATGTAGTACTGGACTGCTCCACTAGGGGGCACAGTAGGAAGCTGACTGTAAAAAGTCCCGGGTTTGTAGGGTACACCCAAAACAAGCATGGCTTCAATAGAATCATGGGATCAGTAACGTAGCTAGTATGAAAGACCTCTACACCAGAGACGTGGAGTGACCATGGCGAGTGTCTCACTTGCTTTGTCATCTCCACCTACTGGTTATGCTTATATTGCAGCGTGTCAACACTCCACGTTCATTTTGAGCGATGCACACAAATGATGCTTCAAATTAACGCAAGTTAGGCAAGGCAGCCATTTTAAACATGCATACACGTCAGCAACCAGCAGGTTAATCCCAGGCCTACGTTGGATTGCTGACAGAAGTGGACTTTCATGCCATATTCTCATTTTTCTTGTTTCACTTAGAGGTGACACACTCAACCTATGAAGAGAGGGGTTGATTTAATTGTAAAGACAAGCAGTTTCTGGTGCAGGTTAGGCTCCACCTAGGACTGCTCCTGGTCTCTGATCATGTTTCTGGGATGGAGGGACTCAACCTGAAGATGTGGTCCTAGAGATGACGAGGACCAGTTTGGGAAACTCAGGATCTCATCTTTGCTTTTTGCAGATAATGTGGTTCTGTAGGGGTGATCAAACCATGACCTGTATCATGAACTGGAGTGGTTCAGCGCTGGGATGACTATTACCAACCAGCAAAGGTCAGAAAGTTCCCTTTGCTTTGGAAATGCGGTGGAGTTCTAGTAACTTGTTTTCTTGTTCTGGCGTGATGGTGGGATGGAGGAGAAATGGACCAGCAGATCAGAACTTAGCCTGAAGATATGATCCATCATTGTTGGGAAGGAACTGACAATGATCTGAACTTACCGGTCCATCTAACCCCTCACCTGTGGTCATGAAATCTGGACCAGGAAATAAAGAACATTTAAAAGGATGTTCCTCTGTAGAGTGTCTGGGTTCTGTCTTATAGGTAAGGTATGAAGTTCTCACCGAAGAGGATCATTTAAGGTGGTTCTGATAAAGAGACCACTCTGGAGGTTTTGCAGTCAAAGGGAGGAGATCCCGGGACAGACCCCATCTGGCCTGGGAACACCTTGGAATTCTCTAGGGGTGTGTCTGGGGGGTGGACTACATGTCATACACTAATTTAAAGGTTATAAATTGTAAGTCGCTTTGGATAAAAGCGCCTGCCAAATAAATAAACATAAACATGTAGCCTCACAAGTCCTCCACAAAGGAACAAGTTTCCCACTCAGAAGCTTCTGATGCTGCTTCAACAGATTCATCCCACAATGCCCCTCTATGGGCTGGTTGGTCAGAAATCCCTAATCTGCATGTTTATGGGAGAAGTCGGATTAGCAGGTCTCAGTAAATCTACCCATCAAGGCATCCTTTCTGATTTCAGAGTAGGACTCAAATTGTGTGCCAGAATTACAGGAAATTCATTTTATTCATTTTCAGCAGCAATGGTTATTTCCAGAGATTAAAGGGAAAAATACATACTGTCACTTTAAAGAGGTCCTTCACTGAGAATTTTTTAAATAATTATTCCTGATCATAATCTGTCACTGAGTTTTTCATGCAGGCTGAATGTGGAAAATAGTCTCCTACTATCTCCTGCATTAGCTTCTGATTGAAAATAGACTGTGAAACTCTAGGATTAGAAAGTCTTGACAGATCTACGTCACACCGTCACTTAACGTTCATGGACTCACTCATCTTGACTCACGACGGGGAAGGCTGTTGTTGGTTTAGCGTCCAGGAAAAAGCAGAGAACGTCTCAGGTAGTAGACGCCAAATGTAAACATTAGCAACTCCACTACACAGCAGAACTCCTCCAGGCGTGTGTTGTTTGTGGAGATAAAACATCATCGTTCCAGAACAGTCAGTGGTAGAGTTGTGTTGCTGTTAGCCAATCAGAGGAGAGATGTTCAAACATCACAAAATAGGACTCCAAATCCTGTCTTCTGAAGCTACTTTCTCTTCTGGCTGATTTCTCCATGCTAATACAGACGCACCAGAGCTTTTAATCCCCAAAGTATGACTTATTCCTACTAGAGACCACTGCAGATGTGTTAAACTGTTCCTACTGTGAAACACGGAGGAGGCGCTGTTATGTTCTGGGGCTGTTTTGCTGCATCTGGTACAGGATTTTTTTTATCACAGTTCATGGGTCTTCTGCAACATGACAATGACCCAAAACACTCAGCTGAAAACACAAACAAGAACGGCTAAGAGGAAAACATCAGACTATTCTAAAGTGGCCTTCTATGAGTCCTGACATCAATCCTATTGAGCATCTTTGTAAAGAATTGAAACATGCTGTCTGGACAAGACATCCTTCCAACCCGAGATAACTGGAGAAGTTTGCTCGTGAGGAGCGGGCCAAAATACCTGCTGAGAAGTGCAGAAGTCTCATTGACAGTTACAGGCATCGGTTGATTGCAGTGATTGCCTCAAAAGGTTGTGCAACAAAATATTAAGTTGGGGTATCATCATTTTAGCCCAGGCCTGTTCCATGAGTTTATTTATTTAATTAATTCCATAGAAGCATGGTTGAAAAGCAACATCTGACTTTCACTGGTTATATTTCATAGAATTTTTTTATTATTTATTTAAATTTCATTTAACTTTTGTCAGATTCAAGTTATTTCAGCGACCATTGTGGGGTTTTCTTTTTTTCTCATTTCACAATGCCGTCCATGTCTGTATGAATTCTGTGATGAAGTCACTAAACTCTCCAGATTGTTAGGTTGTCTTTTTCCTCAGCAGTGACACTAAAACTCCGCCCTGCGCAGCAGATGCTCAGTAGACGGGCCCTTTGCTGTAATGGTCTGAGTTAGAACCAATCACACACACACTCATTCACTCCTCCTGCCACCGGCTCCCAGGCCTCTAACCAATCAGAGCAGCCCTCCGTCCTCACATGACTCGTGTGCTACCGTCCGTACACTGCCTCGTATATAGAGCGTGCAAGAAAATGTGGAGCAGTTCAATAACTTGAGCTGCAGCCAGGCTTTCACGTGTGTGTGCGTGCGTGTGTGTGTGCGTGTGTGTGTGCGTGTGCGTGTGTGTGTGCGTGTTAGTGGGGGAAGGGATGTGTGCTTGTTTATTTATATGATGCGCTGAAGAAGCGACAGTAGGGGTGAAAGAGGAAGAGTTTGAAGTCTGATGTTTTCCTGCGTGCCAGAAGAGCGTGCTCGTCTGGAAGAAGAAAGACAAGAGCGAGGGAGGGAGGGACGGAGGGAGGGAAAGAGGGGGGGAGGGAGGGTGAGGAACTCGTTCAACCCATTTCAGCGGCAACTTTTCAGCTCGTCTACATGAGGTCTCCTCCTGAGAATGGAAGCCTTTCGCGCTCGTCGTCTCTTCGCCGCCGTTTCCTGTTCCTGAACTTTTGGGAACATTACAGGTAAGCATCTGATCTGCTTGTCTAAAGAATTTTATGCTTCAGCTTCACCTCTCAGGAAGCTCCGTCTCCTTTTTAGTTTCTCTGGAGCGATTTTAAATCGACCCCATTCACAGAATTTCTTTTAAAGAATGGGTGATTTACAGAAACGCCGGTTGATCCGGAGCTCTTCAGACGGTTTATCTGAAACCATGTGTGAAACTCGTCACGAGCAGAGTTCAGTAAGACCTGTTTGTGCAGACAGACGGATTGACTGCGTGGAGCGTAGAAGGTATGTGCGTGTGAACGTGTGATTTCGAGCCTGATCTGCTGTTACAAAGTCTTTCTGCGGGATTGTGGACTGCAGTTAGCGGCGTGAGCGCTTGACTGGAGAGGAACTGGGCCAGACAGAAGACAAAAGCAAGCAGGGTCGACCAGACAGGGCAGGTCAGCCATTAGAAGCTGCAGTGGAGGGGACAGGTCAGCCAGCTGCTGCCGCGCTCCAGGAGGGGGGGCGGAGGAGAAGCCTTCCACATCAGAGCTTAGGGGTGACCACGACTCTGCCTCCACACACTCGTCCTACAACTCCCCCACCTTCAAAACACCCAGAAAAGCTTCATGTTCAGAATCTATAAGTTAAAATTCAAACAGGGTTCTGTGACAGGAACGCAAGAGAAGCAAAGGAAGCATCTGCGTAGGAGGAGGTTAAATATAGATGCAACAAAAGAGGAAGAAAGGGAGAAAGAGTCATTTCACAGAGCTTGTTATTTTCTATTCCTTTTTTGCGGGTCCCTCTCCCTGGGGGAAGGGGAGCACGGGTTTGGAATGTGTTCAGTAACAGGAAACGCTGGACATCCCCATTTTCTGTCCCTTTTGGGCTGTGGTCCACAGCTCCTAATCCAGAGGGAAAGTTGAAGAAAACCAACTGACTAAAGTTTCTGAGGATGACTGATGAACATCACAGCTGCTGGTGCTTCAAAGCCCATGGAGAGGCTCCGTGTAGCGCTGCCTAGAGGGGGAACCGCCACAGGAACACACCAGGGAGGCGCTTTAGAGAGGCCTGATACTTGGGACGGACAGACACGCAACAACAATAACAACAACCCTAGGCTGTTGAAACGGAGCTGGAGTGACATTCCTGTACGAGTCCAGTCTTGTTGCCGACTGATGCTCGGAGCTCTCACAGGGCAGCAGCTGCTCGCTGCACAGCTTCATTCAGCAAAGTGAATCTCAGCGTGCTACAGCCAGCGCCGTTCATGTGTGTGTTGTTAACTCCTCACAACCGACTCGGTGACTCCGACACATCGGGTCCTCAGACCAAACACCTGACTGTAACAGCAGGTCTCTGACGTGTTGAAGCGTAGCTGATGGATCGGATTTGTTTTCCTGCTTGTGAAAGCGGCGCTCGGCTCGGAGGCCGTGGGGAAATCCAGCATCACCAGCTGATCAGCAGCAGGAACTCCACGACCCTAGCACCTCAGCTCTGGGTGAACTTTGGTCCTGGGACTGGAAGAACCCCGTCCCTCCCAGGTCCCTGTTTGGATAAGTGGATTTGAATAGAAACCAGACAGCGATGCCCCCCCCCTCCCGCACACACACACACAAACACACACACCTCCCCTCCCCCTCAGTCACCACTACCACGTGGGACAATGAGGATTTGCTGGTGCTCAGCCACGGGCCTGCGGACACAAAGCCTCCTGGTCCCCAGACCCAGAGGATCCTATAAGCAGAGGCAGGCCGGATGGGGGGGGGGGGGGGGGGGGGGGAGTGTGTGTGCGGTAGTTTGGAGGGGAGGGATTAGCAGACAAGAGCAGCGGGTTGGGGGATGGGGGTCTGAAACCAACAGGAAATTACTGCCTTTGATGAGGCAGATTTCAGCAGACCTCTTCCCCTCAGCTGGAAAAAACCCGTGTGAGCAGAAAGAGGTCTGAAAGGCGGCGAGTCCCATCCCTCTGGTGTCGACATCGGCACTCAGGTGCTCATCAGTCCCCCACCGGACCACATCACGGGACTTCCATGAGGATCTGTGTCCGTCTGACCCAGATTCATCCACAAATCAATCCCACGATCTGCACAGTATCTATGATTCAGAACCACCGGAGGATCAGTTTGGCCCAAACAGTCAGAACCAGACAGGAAGTGGGCCAGCGTTAGCCTGACTTAAGCTAACTGTTCCAGAGGAAAACCGCAGAGAGAAGGGAGGTTATAAAGGCTCAAGGAGCAGAATGAGATGAAACCTCAGGTCTCTGCTTTTTGCAGATGATGCACTGTTGAGTGAAGCAGATGAGATGAGAATCAGCTCCTCTAAATCTGAGACCATGGTCCCGAGTCGGTGAAGGGTAGAATGCCTTCTCCGGGTCAGGGAGGAGGTCTCATTCACGAGTGAGGGAAAGATGGAGCAGGAGGTCGACAGGCAGATGGGTGCTGCGTCTGCAGTGATGCGGGCGTTGGTGAAGAGAGAGCCGAGATGAAAAGCAAAGCTCTCTTTGGGTAGCTCGCAGATACAAGCGGAAAAAATGAGCTTCCTCAGAGTGGCTTAGAGATAGGGTGAGAAACTCGGTCATCCTGGAGGGGCTCAGAGTAGATCCGCTGCTCCTCCACATCGAGACGAGCAAGTTGAGGCGGCTAGGGTATTTGGTCAGGATGTCTCTTAGACGCCTCCCTGGTGAGGTTTTCTGGGCATGTCTAAGTGTGAGGAGACCTAAAGGAAGACCCAGGACGCGCTGGAGGTTCTCAGCTGGCCAGGGAACGCCTTGGGATTCCCAAGTAGCTGGACAGAGGGAAGTCTGGGCCTTAATGCTTAGGCTGCTGCCACTGCGACCCGACCCTGGATAAGTGGATGGATGGAAACTCATCATCATCATCATCACTAGGACAGGAGGAAGAACAGAAACCAGCAGATTTCATCTACAGTGAAGTTTGTGAAGAACTTTTATAAATGAACAGATTTTTTATTCTCCAACTTGTAGAAGTTAAAAACTTTAAGAATCTAAACAGAAAACATGAAATAGGTTTTTCTTAAGACTCTTATTTGAAAACAAGTGAGAAAAAACAGACAGAGGGGCAGGTGTGTGTGTGTGTGTGTGTGTGTGTGTGTGGTGTGTGGTGTGTGTGTGTGTGTGTGGTGTGTGGTGTGTGTGTGTGTGTGTGTGTGTGTGTGTGTGTGTGTGTGTGTGTTCAGTGAATATCAGGGTCGATTAGAGAGTCCCGTCTGGTCGGGCTGCAGCAGATTAGACAGGCGGAGTGGATGCAGGCTGCGGGCTGGTCGTCTGGCGTTCTGACCCACATTGCTCTGATGTGCACGTCACTTCCATTACATTTGGACGCCACATCAGCTGAGCGTGCTGTGATGCGAGTCACCCACCCCACCCCCGGAGGTGAGGCCCTGCTGCCCAGAACCTCTCGCTGTCACCCACCCTCACTGGCGCTGAGGGGCCGCCAGCCCGTCCGTAAGTGCGGATGAGTCAGCGAACGCTCTGCAACGCCACGGGCGAATCAGACACACGGTGCTGACCTTGATGCTCACACACCGATAATTAAGCTTCAAAATGTCAAATTGGCTTTAGCTCCCCAACGGCAGGACCCGCAGCTGATCCCCCACCCTCCGCCGCTGAGGTTCAGCGGCGGAGGGTGGGCCCAGTAAAAACATACATCTGATCCCTCTCAACAAGCACTCAGAGCAGAGACGCAGCAGTGTGCTCCTCCGTGTGCACGCTCCGGTGTGGAGACAGCAAGAGGCTGGCAGCAGATCTGCAGCTGGCTGACAAAGACGGGTCTGTTTGCAGGATGGCCCAAACGTAATTGGTAGCTCCGGAGCGAAAAGCGGGCTCAGTAACAGATAAGGGCTGTGTGGAAAACTCCACAATCAGCACGGATTAGCAAATGATAAATCACGAGTTCACACCAGCGAGCGCCATCGCTGCTGGGAGAGCCGAGGGGGAGATGAGCAGAGATACGTGGACGGTGTGAGGGAGGGAGGAGACGTGGAGATTTTGGCTGATTTCAAGGGAAAACAGAATAAAAGCATGTAGCAGGAATGAGAGGCAGGCTGAGGGAGAAAGGGATGAAGAGAGCAGAAATGAAAAGCTCTGCCAACATTTCAGCTAATACAATCTTCTGCCTGTCAGATTACCTTCTTTAATCCAGAAAGGTTTAACGCCTCTTAGAAAACTGGAAAGGAGACCTGAATTCAGCAGAGATTTTCCTCCAGCCCAGAAGGGAGGAGGGTTAAGTCCCTGAGCTCCTCTCTACAGAAGCAGCCTCAACATCTCTGCTGCACGGATCAGCCGAGTGGAACGCTGCCGAGCTAAACACCCACAAATTAAGCTGCTCATCTCACTCACCAGTTAACTCCAGCTGTTCTGATCAGGGCCTGCATCCTTCAGGACTGACAGGCTAACGGCTAGTCTGAGTAAAGACGGTGCTGCCATCTGAAACCGGCGCCATCCTCCTAGATGTTTCACTTCATCGCTTAGTTCAGCAGAAATATGAATGACCTCCTGCTGACCCCGACTCCTGGACCAGGAGCTGCTGACCATCACAAAAACAAACCTCAGAGTCAATAACCGCTCCTCGGGAGTGATCAGCAGCGCTGCTAGGTCTCACGTCTACCTGCTGCAGCTCTCACTGGCCTGAGCTGAAGGGAGGAGGACTTTCCTTCTACCTGCTGGTTGTCACAGGCGTGCCGCTAGGCTGTGACGTGGTGAAGAACCAGGTCCTGGGGCACCCGGCTGCTAACTTGTAGCTGCAGCTCCACTAGGCCGTTGCTTCACCTCCCAGTGAGAGCAGGGACAGGCTGATGGACGCAAACCCATCCTGAAGCTTTCATCCCCTCCACAGATTACAGCAGACGTGGGAGCTGTATGGACATCCGCATCGCTTTAGTCACCGTGTCGAGCGGTTTAGAGAAAATGCGAGTTTGGGGGCCGACAGCTGGGCCAAGGTTAGCAGCTGCATCAGCCCCTCTGAATGTTCAGAGGAGATCCACCTCGCTGCTCTCAGGCGCGCCGTGGGAAGAGAGA